TCATGTGATTTTTCTGCAGAGCCTTGTGCTGAGCTATGTCCTGCAGCGAGGTACGGTGAGACACGATGAAGATTCGCTGCTCTTCTTTGCTCCTTTGGTCACAGGTCCGTGCCTCCTAGAGTCAGCTACCGTGTCGGCTTGAGTCCACCTGGCCAAGGTGTATCTAAAATCCCGCCTTTGCCCCAGCCCCAGCCTGGTCCTGGCCTTCTGCCTCCTCTCACCTGGATAAGGGGCCTCGCTAAGCCCTGCTTGCTTTCTTACTGGCCCGGACACCCCCACCCTGCCATGTTCCTCCCCCGGTGGCGTAAGACAGCGGCCCGGCCAAGTCCCGCACGCGCATTTATGAGATAGAGAGCATACACGCTGCAGCATTGCTCTCCAAGTCTGCACAGGATCTGGCCCCCTGCCCGCCCCTCCAGTTTCCTGCCTGTTACCCTGCCAGCCACACTGGCCTTCTCTTTGTTGTGAGAACACCTGAGCTCACCTCTCTTGGGGCTCCTGCTCCACCCGCCACCCAGACTCCTCCGTGTCTAACACCTCCTCCTCCGAGCCCCCTTTCCGCCTCTCCTCCCCACCCTGTGCAAAAGAGGCCTTCTCTGATTAAGACACCTAGAGTAGCCCTGGGCCCATAGCCCTCCTCACTTCCTATTGCACCACCTTATTTATCGTTTTCGTAGGAAGCACAACTATCTGAAATAATCTTACCTAGGTATTCATTGTCTGTCTTTCCCTCACCCCTAGAATGTAAAACTCCAGGTGAACAGAGACCCTTCCTTCCTAATCACCTGTGCACCCCGGCAGGTAGCAGTAGACAGGTGCTCTCCAGGGATGGGCCGGAACATTGTTCAGCAAATACTCACCATCCCTCCTCTGCTTGGAGCAGCGTTTATCTCCTATGGCATAGAATGCAGGTGTGGGCTTTTGGCCAATGGCGCGTTAGCAAGCATCAAAGCAAAACCTGTGCCCAAGTTAAACAGGCAAAGGTGGCTTTTCTCAAGGGCGTTGCTGTAGAGGGAAGAAGTCAACACTCAAATCTGAACTCAGCTCCACTGAAACAAAGAGCAGGAGTCATTTCCAGAGCTGTGATGGGGGTCTCAATAGCCATCTGCGTTTGCTAAATGGCTTTACCCAAAGGCAAAGTAGAGTTTCTCCTTATCTTCAGAGAGGAGGTAGTTTTACAACCTGTCACTGGGTGCTCTGGGCAGTTAGGGTCCCCACAGAGACAGGGAGGTGAAGGTATAATTCCTCTTTGTTTGCATTGCTAAAGGGAAGGCCCCCAGGTCCTTAAGAAAGACATTGCCGGTTTGTAAAACTGGCAGGAGGCTTTTGAAAGGACATACACCTCAAAGGGGCAATTTGCAATGACGTGTTTTCTAAAGCAAACGCTCTAAGAAAAGGGAGTTCACAGGCCTAGAGGCAGGAAGAAACTTTTCTAAAGCTTGCTCCCTTGGAGGGAACCCAAAGGCCTTCTTGGTCAGGGAATGACCAGAAGCAGGTCTGGGGTGATCTCGCGCAGCCGGGCTTGCTCTCACGCTTTTGCTATCACCGTGGGGCCGACATCAGAGCCAGCCCGGTTGTCCGAGGAGGATGGAGAGAGTAAGTAAGACCCGACTTACACTGACCCCCAAGAAGCCGGGTGCCAGGCTGGCGATGCACAGCAGAGAGGTACTTACTGCCTGGGTCATTGGGTGTGTTTGCTACACACCTGGGGGCTCGAGAACGGATGTTTGCCCTGGTAACCCGTAACAACGGCCACTGATATGTCTTCTCTCTATAGGTTTTGCCATTTCAAGAATCTGCTGATGCCACAAGAACTCTAGCCCTGGCAACAGAGTGAGATTTTGTCTCAATAAAATAAAATAAATAAACCAAGTCAGTGGTTACCATCTTTATCTAAGAAGGTAAAGCTTCTGCCTTTGAGGCGTCCTCACCAATGGTCCATGATCGTAAACACCCTAATTATTTTCAACGCCCAAGAGAAAGGAAAAAAAAAAGCAAGATCAACAGAGATAGAAAGAAAACTTAGCCAAGAGAAAAGCACAAATATTCTATTGAAAAAAGCAGCTCCATATTACATTCCTTGAACACCTACAATGTGAAAAAAAATCTGGGATATTTAGACAAGCAACAGGAACCCCTCCTTCTCAAACATCTTGATGATTTAGTAGAATATTTAAGATAGTCCAAGAGTTACACTGAATGACATTTAGTAAACACTTGGTTTCTTTTCTTGTAACTTCCGACTTGTCTGTTAGATTTTCAGTACTTCTCAGGAGAGCCGAAATTCAATGGAAAAGTTTGTCATCCTATAAAATATATCACAACTATATACACCCATAACAATTAAAAATAAAAACGTAAAAAAAGAATGTACAGGCTGCTGAAATCCGAAAAGGTGTAAATCTGCCCAAGTGAGGGAGCTCTTTTTCAGGAAACATGCATTTCCCCAAATCCTACAATTAAACCCTCCTGATTTCCATCACATCCCCCCTACTTGACCTGTTGTGTTTATTGCAAAGTTCTCACAAGCTTTTTCATAGGCCAATGACTCTAAAGCAACTAGGTCCTACGTCAACCACAGTTAGAAGGACCTGTGCATTATGTGCATGTGACTTCTCTAACTTCTTCTTTGCCTAATTATATCAAGCACTCCTGGAATTCTTTCATGGAAACATTGTTGTTATCATATAATGCATTTGATTATGAGATTACTTTGGCAGAGCAAGTAGGAGCCAGACTCATGCTTGAAAAAAATTGAAAATCATATTTTAAACAAATAAGTTTCTTTTTTTGTCTTACAAGATGTACTTGTGTGCACAAGGAGGGAATGTATGAGACAGTGAGGTTGCCCAGGACAGGGAACGACTGCCATGTGCATTACTTGATGCAGCTATTTCTCCGGGTTCGGGAAAGGGAAGACGTATCTCAGGCTCCTGGTGCCAATACTTGTGAACTTTGCCCTACTCTCCCTCACTTCAACAGAACGGGAAATTCCGTTTAATAAATGGAACCATTTGGGTGCATTCTAAGAGCATGAAACAAAAAGCCCGAGAGCGATGGAATCTGGGCATGGAGTAAACACCAGGTCAGCCCCTTGGAGGATAAAAAACACTAAGCGGACCTAAAACAACAGAATGAAGAGAGACAGCGGTGACAAGCTTGATTTCTCTCCACCATGCACTAATGAGGGGCTCGGGGCGATACGATGGCCATCAGAGACGCGATCTTTGACATTTTGTGCATGTCTCGCCCCTCGCCCCACCCCCCCCCCCCAACACACTTCACCGAGGAGAGCACATGGGGTGCTGGGACAGAGCAGAGCCTCGGCGGGGTTTTCAGTGTCCAGACAAGGCTGAAGTTTCAACTTCGCTCTGAACGCTGCCGACCATGTGCTTGCGCAAGCCAGTTCCTTGAAAACTCTGGTTTAGTCCTAAGGGGATGCTGTGTCCTTTCTCTGTGATCCATTTTTGACCTTCTTTGTCCTAACTGAGAGCTGTTGGGACACTGGGGAGGCCACGGTTTCTGACCCAGATTCAAGGCATGTGGTCTGACACCTGTGAACTCCTTACAGGAACAGGACATTAAAGTCTCCTCCAAAGCAGTTTAGCACATCGATGAAGATTAAGGAGAAACGTGCAGCCAGGTCATCTGCAGATGGTTCCTAATTCTACAAAATTTCACAAACTGGTGCTCCTTCATCGGGTTTCCACGTCTGGCATGTGGCTCATCATTAAAACATTCAATGTGTATTTTCCTTGCAGAGACCTTGTGCCGAGCTTGTCCTCAGCGGCTACGGAGACAACGATGAGATTCCCTGCCCTTTTCCTCCTTTTGCTACATTCCTGCCTCTAAGTCATCTACCGTTCCCTCTTGCATCCACCTCCAAAGTGTATCTAAAATCCGCCTTCCCACCCAGCTGGTTCCTGGCCTCTCCCTCTCTCAACTGGATAAAGAGAGCCTCCTAAGACTCTGCTTCTAATGCCCCACACCCCACCCTCCGTTTCCCTCCCCCGTGTAACACAGCGCCCCAAATGCCCACCGGCATTTGGATAACACTACACACTGCAGCATGCTCTCCAACGTCTGGCACAGGGGTCTGGCGCGCTGCCCGCCGCTCCTAGTTCCTTGTATATAAATTAAACATTGAGATACAAGTTAGCATCCCAAATGCTGGCAAACAATTTAGAAGTCTTACCACACCAGACATTTTGGAAAAGATGTAGCAATATGGAAACTCTCACGCATTGAGATGGGAATGTGAATTAGTGTAATATATTTGCTCTAGCGAACAATTTAGCAATATTTTGTAAGGTTGAAGATGTATTTACAAACAAGCACTTGAGAGAGAGAGACTCACCCACAATCTGCCATCTGCAAGCTGGAGGCCCAGGAAGGCTGGCGTCACTGTTCTGACCCAAATCTGAAGGTCTAAGAAGAGAAAAGAACGAGGAAAGCCAGTGGTGCGAGTCCAGTGTGAGTCCTAGTGCGAGTCCAAAGCCCGAGAACGGGAGCGCAGAGGTCAGAAGGCAAGGGGAGATGAAGGTGGATGGATGTCTCGGCCCATGCCAAGAACAAATTTACTCTCTCCTGCCTTTTTATATATCCGCACCCTCAGTGGATTGGGCGATGCCCACCAGCATTGGTGAGGGCAAATCGTCTTGACTCTCCAACAATCCAAATGCTATCTTTTTTTTTAGGAAACACCCTCAAAGATACACCCAGAAATAATGTCTTCCCAACTGTCTGGGCATCCCCGACCCATTTTAAGTTGACGCATAAAATCACCCCTCACTCTCGGTGAAGAGAGAGAGAGAATGAAATCAAGAAAAGACACATGAGGCTTCCAATTTATCTGTACTATTTTCCCTTAAAATACCAGAGGACACATGTCAACATATTAAGAATTGACAAAGCTGGGTGTTGGCTTAATAGGCATTTGTGTATCTTTTTCTATAGTTTTCCGTTATCTGACCTGTTTTCTTAATTGAAAGTTTGAATACCTCGATCTCTTATTTGGTCTATTATGCTGTTATTATTTTTAATCTCAAATATTTGTTTCCAGCATAAGCACTCTAAGAAATTCCCTGTCTGACTCTTTAATTAGCTTCTACAATAACTAGTAAGCTAACCCATTGCCCTACTTCCAAATCACAGGAGGGGAATCTTCTGTTCTCCTCCTCCTTCTCCTTTTTCTTCTCCTTTTATTATTTTTAAAGTGGAAATCCTCCTTGCAGACTGATAAAAACGACCTTATTTTGCTTAGCCAACACTTTCCCAGAACTGGAAACAATAAATCCTGGTAATGAGCAAAAACTTTGGGCACCTCCACTTTCGCAGCTGCCAAATCCACAACTATTTCTCAAGTTAACAGCTCACACTCACTTCCAGCTTAGCCGATTTTTATCGGTATACTCATGACAAGCCTGGAGACAGCTAAGACAATTGCTATAATGATTTTTGTTTCTTCTTTGCCTCTGTCTTTCTGACAAGATACCGAACCTTCCAGGAAACGATGACTTAGAAAGCATCTTAAACTAACTGCTTAAATGCGAATTTCAGAAATTGTCCTTCTCTAGGTTTCTTCTTAGCATCACCCTTGATAAAAACACATATTATTCACAACGACTTATTGAATTAATTTCTTTTCAAATCTCCGTAAGCGAGCAAAACAGACTGCTCTTGGTGACTTAAAAATTATGTGATATATGCTAGTAAAATGCACAGCAGAAGGGCTTTGGAACTTGGTTAACTCTGCTTATAGGCCCTGGGGCAAGGGATTTGGCATGGAGTGTTCATGGGTCTGTGTGTTTGTCTGAGCTTGCGGCTGGGAAATTTGTATTTTGATTTGTGTAATACAATGTCCATTTTTAAATGCATAATAATACATTTCCAGGATTCAGCACTGAAAAGCATAAAAGGTAACCAAAAACTATTCCTTCCATTGCTGCCTCCCAAATCCTAACCCAAACACAATTATTATTACTTTCCTTATGAGCCATCTAGAGTTCTGGGCATCTGCAGGCATGAACAAGTGTGATCTTTTACCTCGATTTTACACAAATGCTGTGCATGACGGATTCTGTTTTGCATCTAGAATATTTGATCTCTGTGATACAAGAGCTTTGATCGCTCTCTTCCGTGGCAATGGAATGATTTGTCCCGGTAGCGATGTCATCACCAGTTGCAGGGTCCCATCTGATCACAGGGCCAGTGACAACACTCCCCTATATGCCCAGAAGGTAAGTAGTGGGCAGTGCTAGTGACTAGGGCACGAGGAAGTGCTGGCATAGGCAGGTTGCACAACTATGATGTGCACCAACCAGGAGTCAGCACGTGTCTGACTCCCCATGCTGGGAAAGAGTGAATCTAACACTTATTCTGTGCAAAGTTAATTAGTATAGGAACATCAAGATGCACTGTTTTTAATGAGCCATAGGACCTATAATCTAGGTACAACAAAACTGACCAATTTTTAAGTGTACATTTCAATGAAAGCGGACAAATGCAGATAGTCATGTAAAAAGCATCATTATCAAGATATGGAATTTTCCCATCACCCCCCAAATTTCCCATTGCTCTGTTGCCATCAATCTCCTCTCCACACTTCCCAATCCTAACAACCACTGATATGTCTTCTCTCATAGTTTTGCCATTTCAAGAACTGCTGATGCCACAGAACTCTAGCCCTGGCAACAGAGTGAGATTTTTGTCTCAATAAAATAAAATAAAATAAACCAAGTCAGTGCTTACCATCTTTATCTAAGAAGGTAAAGCTTCTGCCTTTGAGGCAGTCCTCACCAATGCTCCTAGATCGTCAAAACACCCTAATTATTTCAACGCCACAAGAGAAAAGGAAAAAAAAAAGCAAGATCAACAGAGATAGAAAGAAAACATTAGCCAAGAGAAAAAGCACAAATATTCTATTGAAAAAAAGCAGCTCCATATACATTCCTTGAACACCTACAATGTGAAAAAACATCTGGGATATTTTAAGGCAAGCAACAGGAACCCCCTTCTCAAACATCTTGAAATTTAGTAGAATATTTAAGAGTAGTCCAAGAGTACATTGACACACTGAATGACAATTTAGTAAACACTTGGTTTCTATTCTTGTAACTTCCGACTTGTCTGTTAGATTTTCAGTACTTCTCAGGAGGGCAGAAATTCAATGGAAAAGTTGTCATCCTATAAATATACACAACTAATATACACCCATAACAATTAAAAATAAAAACGTAAAAAAAGAATGTACAGGCTTGCTGAAATCCGAAAAGGTGTAAATCTGCCCAAGTGAGGAGCTCTCTTTCAGGAAACATGCATTTCCCCGAATCCTAACAATTAAACCCTCCTGATTTCCATCACATCCCCTACTTGACCTGTTGTGTTCATTGCAAAGGTCTCACAAGCTTTTTCGTAGGCCAATGACTCTAAAGCAACTAGGTCCTGCGTCAACCACAGTTAGAAGGACCGTGCATTATGTGCATGTGACTTCTCTAACTTCTTCTTTGCTAATTATATCCAAGCACTCCTGGAATTCTTTTCATGGAAACATTGCTGTTATCAATAATGCATTGATTATGAGATTACTTTGGCCGAGCAAGTAGGAGCCAGACTCATGCTTGAAAAAAATGGAAAATTATATTTTAAACAAATAAGTTTCTTTTTTTGTCTTACAAGATGTACTTGTGTGCACAAGGAGGGAATGTATGAGACAGTGAGGTTGCCCAGGACAGGGAACGACTGCCATGTGCATTACTGGAGCAGCTATTTCTCCGGGTTCCGGGAAAGGGAAGACGAATTCTCCGAGGCTCCTGGTGCCAATACTTGTGAACTTGCCCTACTCTCCCCTCACTTCAACAGAACCGGGAAAGTTCCGTTTAATAAATGGAACCATTGGTGCATTCTAAGAGCATGAAAACAAAGCCCAGAGAGCGATGGAATCTGGGCATGAGTAAACACCAGGTCAGCCCCTTGGAGGATAAAAAACACTAAGCGACCTAAAACAACAGAATGAAAGGAGACAGCGGTGACAGCTTGATTCTCTCCACCATGCACTAATGAGGGGCTCTGGGGCGATACGATGGCCATCCAGAGACGCTGATCTTTGACATTTTTGTCATGCTCCCCCCTCCCCCCCCACCAACACACTGCCACCGAGGAGAGCCACATGGGTGCTGGGACAGAGCAGAGCCTGGCGGGGTTTTCAGTGTCCAGACAAAGACTGAAGTTCAACTTCGGCTCTGAACCTGCAAGACCAGTGTCTGCAAAGCCAGTTCCTCTGAAAACTCTGTTTAGTCCTAAGGGGATGCTGTGTCCTTTCTCTGTGATCCAGTTTGACCTCTTTGTCCTAAGGAGAGCTGTTGGGACACTGGGAGCCACGGTTTCTGAACCCAGATTCAAGGCATGTGGTCTGACACCTGTGAACTCCTTACAGGAACAGAACATTGAAAGTTCGGAATCTTCCCAAAGTGCAGTTTAGCACATCGATGAAGATATAAGGAGAAACTGCAGACATGGTCATCTGCAGATGGTTCCTAATTCTACAGAATTTCACAAACTGGTGCTCCTTCATCGGGTTTCCACGTCTGGCATGTGGCTCATTCATTAAAACATTCAATGTGTATTTTTCCTGCAGAGACCTTGTGCTGAGCTATGTCCTCAGCAGTACGGAGACAACGATGAGATTCCTGCTCCTTTTTCCTCCTTTTTGCTCACATCCTGCCTCTAAGTCATCTACCTGTCCTCTTGCATCCACCTCCAAAGTGTATCTAAAATCCGCCTTCCCAGCCCCAGCCTGGTCCTGGCCTCTCCCTCCTCTCACCTGGATAAGGAGAGAAGCCTCCTAAGCACCTCTGCTTCTACTGCCCACACCCCCACCCTCCGTTTCCCTCCCCCGTGTAACACAGCGCCCCCAAATCCCACCGCATTTGGAATAAACATGACACACTGCAGCATGCTCTCCAAGTCTGCACAGGGTCTGGCGCCTGCCCGCCCCTCCAGTTTCCTGCCTGTTACCCTGCCAGCCACACTGGCCTTCTCTTTGTTGTGAGAACACCTGAGCTCACCTCTCTTGGGGCTCCTGCTCCACCCGCCACCCAGACTCCTCCATGTCTAACACCTCCTCCTCCCAGCCCCCTTTCCGCCTCTCCTCCCCACCCTGTGCAAAAGAGGCCTCCTCTGATTAAGACACCTAGAGTAGCCCTGGGCCCATAGCCCTCCTCACTTCCTATTGCACCACCTTATTTATCGTATTCGTAGGAAGCACAACTATCTGAAATAATCTTACCTAGGTATTCATTGTCTGTCTTTCCCTCACCCCTAGAATGTAAAACTCCAGGTGAACAGAGACCCTTCCTTCCTAATCACCTGTGCACCCCGGCAGGTAGCAGTAGACAGGTGCTCTCCAGGGATGGGCCGGAACATTGTTC